TGCTAGGCAAGCATCCAGCAACTCGCTCTGAGTTAGTGCACCCAGCGGCATTGCCTGGGAAGGTTCTCCCTGGTCACAGTGACTTTTTTCATGAAACCAGTTTCACTCATACCTTGTTTTTTAGTGATGGCCGATTTAAGAGAACAGCGTGTGGCTGTGAAATTTTGCTTCCTGTTGGGGAAAGATGCTACAAGAACTGATGTGATGTTAAACACAGCTTACAAGGACAGCACTCTGGGAAATACTCAAGTGTATGAGTGGTTTTCTCCTTTCAAAAAAAGGAAAATGTTGACTGATGACAAACCTTATTCTGGACATTCGTCAACTTCCAGAATAGATGAAAATGTTGACTTATAGTACATTTGGAGTTCAGGTCAGACTGCTAATCAAGCTTTCTACTTAGAGGTTCTGAAAAGATGGTCTAATAGTGTGTGACCAAAAAGGCCTGATTTGTGGCAGATGGGGGACTAAATTTGCCACCACGACAATGCACCTGCTCACACAGCCATCTCAGTGCTCCTCCAGTTTTACGCAAAAAGAGCACACACCTCTCTTAACCCACACACCTTAGTCACCTCACCTCGCTCCGTGTTACTTCTTTTTGTTCTGAGACTGAAGAGGGGCATGAAAGGACAGCAAATTGATGATGCAGGAGAGGTGACGAAAAATATCAGACATCCAAACAGGTAAGTGTGAAAAATGTTTCCAGGGATGGAATCGCAGATTTGACAAATGTATTACGTGTTGTGTTAGGCAGGGTTCTCTAGAGGAACAAAACCAGGACACTTATGATTAGATATACATATACATGATAGATTTATACATCATGAAGAAATATATCAGCTAATTAGTCCAGACAGCAGTGCAGAGGGCTCAGTTAAACTCACTTTCTTGGAATAGTTAATATACTGGAAGTCCTTCAACTCATGAGGGCTCTGGGTCCATGGTCAAGGAAGCAAACGGCTGAGTCTTCCCCAGGGCAACGCAGGCATAGTCTGCCCACAGGCAGCAAAGAGCAGGGCAGGTCACCAACAGTCAGGAGCTTAGTGAAGCAGGCCCGGATGAAATATCAAACTCGAGCAATGCAAGATGACAGGATCCACCAGCCTCAAGCTCAAGCAATGTACACACCAGCAGCTCGGCGAAGCAAGTCTCAAAGGAACCTCAAGCTCTAGCAACACGTTCCACAGGTCGGCTGTCCCAAAGGTAGCATAGCTCAAAGTTGAGGCAGAGAACTAGCTAACGCAGCCACAGCCTCGTGATCACCAGAGAGCAAGGGAGGGAGGGGTGGGCCTTGCCGAGCCATTTGTCTCTTTGCCCTTCAATCAAACTGTGACTTGATTAATCCCACATGTTCCTATTGGCCAGGTTGGCACAATAAACCTACCTATCACAAGTGTAATGGAGAGTATTTGAAGGTGATAAGGTTGTTTTGTATATATATATGTGTGTGTGTGTATATATTCAAAGCTATATATATACATATATAGCTTTGAAAAAACAATTCCGTTTTCTTTTGGGTGCTCCCTCATATAAATGTTACTGAATTTCTTCTCTAGTCAACCTGATCTAAAACAAAAGGTGAGGAGGCCTGGTGGAGAAGGAGGGAGCTGGCCAGTCAACCTCAAAAAGGCAGGGTGCGCTAAGGACTGACAGCATAGCTGTTGCAAGTAATCCCAACACCAAAGGGTCTTTTCACTGCGTGGGAAGCATTCAGATTGAAGAAGGAACAGCACACGGCCTGTGGATCAGAGAGAAAGCAAGTCTCTTTTGAGGCAGTTGGCTGCATCATCCCCTTCTGGGTAGGAGCTGGGGTCAGTCGTGGAGCTGAATCTGTAGGTGAAGGGGTGCCCTAAACCAGCAGCAGGATGACCTGCAGAGCTCACCTGCCTGGAAGTGTCCCAGCGGGAGTTTGGGTTGCCAGCAGGCCCTGATGAATTAATTACTATGAAGGCAGAGAGCATCGGAAAATGGGAAGGCAGCCAGGCAGCCACTGCCCCGGTGTTCAAAAGGGAGAAAGTCCGGGTGGAGAGGCTTCAGTGAGGGTCAGGATACAGGCTTCCGGGCACCGGGACATCAGGGCCTAGGCCCTGGGGCCCTAGACAACAACAGGCATAGGGTGAATGAATGCATGCAGGAACTCATGTATGGACAAACACTGGGCCTTCCTTTGCTGCCATCTCCCTGCTGTCCATCTTGGGTGACCTCACCTCTCATGTTTCTGCTCTAAGGTCACCCTTTTGTAGTAGCACCCTTTCTTTTGGGGTGTCCCTTCTCTGTCTCCATGTAAAAGCCTGGCAGATCACCCAGGCATGGTGCTGACTCCTCAGCCAAGTGTGTGACCCTGACAGATTTGAAGACTCCTTCTAGCCCGGTGGTGCAGGAGGCAGTGGAGAAGCCCTGGTGGAAGGGTAGGTTGGCAGGAAGGGGGATCTGAAAGACCACCCTCCACCCACTCCCCGGGTTCCTAGGGCTGCCTAGTCTTCCAGTGAGAACCTCAGGCAGATGGGAGTCTGCTCTGTGGTCATTTTGAGCCCACTCATATTCCACTCTCTGCATCACTCTTGACCTCACACATCCCCATGTCACCACCACTGTCCCCTTGCCTCCGTCCCAGCCTGGGGCTGTCCTATCTAGGGCAGAGGCCCCGTATTCCTTACTCAGTCTCCTGGGCAGAAGTCTGTCCCCCTCCTGGGCCTCTCTCACAAACCACAGTGTGTGTGTGTGTGTGTGTGTGTGTGTGTGTACACGCGCATGCTCGCGGTATTCATCAACAAACCATGGCCCTGAACTCTAGATTAACTGGAAAATCTGTACCATTGCTGGTGTCATACATTCTCTTAAATCAGCTTACTTTTCAACCTAAAAAAAACCAAAGCAAACTGTGGTGGTGGTTGGGGGGGGCAGTTCAGGGAAATAGGGAGCCACCAACAAGGAGGACAAGAAAGAAGGGCTGTAGTGATGATTGCACAACTCCTTTTAAAACGACTCAACCGTTGAATTGTTGGACTTGTGAATTACATGTCAACCAAACAGTTCAAATCAAAACAACTTCACATCACAGCCCAAAGGAAAAACATGACTACACTTTGCAACAACAACAAACAGCTGCTTGTGGAAACGCAGAAAGACAAAAGGCAGATTTCTCCCAAACGCTCCAAGGTAGGCAGACTCTTGCTCAAAAAGTTGATTAACAAGTAGAGGGAGTCATTTCAAATGCTGTGGCACAGGTGTCCGCAGGCCTGGAGAACCCGCGAGTCCTTTTCTTACTCACTCTTCAGTCATTAGCAGCGACAGTGCGGCACTTCCCTGGAAGCCCTGCCAGTCACCTCTGGGAAGCAGAAAGGGTGGTCCCAAATGCCGGTCTAGAGCCTAGGGTGATCAACCCCTTATTTGTCTTCAGCCTGTTCCACAGAGGACAGGGAAAACCTGCAATTAGTTCAGGAGTAAAGGTGCTAGCACCCTGCGATAAAGCACCAGAGACCTCGGGCCGTTTCCCCACGCCCTGGCTGATGCCTGGCTCCCGGCCACGCCCGCCTGACCGGAGGTGGCGAGCCATCCCACGCTGGTCCCTGTGCTCCTGGGAACTGCCGGCCCGCTGCCCGTTTTACCGATCGGGAGCGCTTGTCCAACCCCGGTCACTCCTTTACAGGCCTCGCCCTGGGGCCACGGCGCCGAGGCAGTTGGGCCCTCAGTGGCAGGCAGCTCCAGCGGTCCCTGTCCCTTCCCAGCTCTTAGGCCCCTCCGGGTCCCGGGGGGAGCCAGAGGAGGCTCCCGGGCCCGGATCTAGTTGATGGAGCGATTACTGAGCAAGAGCTCAGGTCCTGGCCCGCCGCTTCCACCCCGTGCCACCCCAGCGACCACCCCAGCCTCGTGCTACCTGAGGCGCAACGCCCGGAAGGCGCGCGTCCACCGGGGTGCAACGG